CATACTTTTTGTTTTTTGTTGATGGCATTAAAATTATTTCTAAGAGCATTAAAAAACAATTAAATTACAGTTACTCATTCCTGTATAAAGCCTAATTATCCACTTGGAGAATTGGACTACAACGTAACTTTGAGAAATGAAAGTTGCGGATTTGCAAAATCCCTGTTCAGCAATTTCGCAGCAAATACCTATAGTTGCTATTCAAAGAACATAATGAGGAATGTAGAAAACTAAAAAGGTAAAAGCAAACAAAATCTAAAGATATCCAAACTCTTAATTACACACAAACAAAATGATTTAATTGGTTAAAAGACCACCACTCATAGGTGTGTTGAGGACATTTTGTTACGCTACTCCTGAACCAAAGGCGGCATCAGAAGTGTCTTGGCATGGCTATGAGGAGAAAAAAGGGCCTGACCGATATAAAGTCCTTTCTTATATTAAAAGTAAAGATGTAGAAAGAAAAGTAGGGGCATTTCGTTAGGAAAAGTTTCAAGAATCTGGAGGAAGTTTAGGCATAGTTGCCTGAGGTTAATTCTAAAGTTGCCACAGGAGTTCAGGATTTAGTGGATCATTCATTTCATCTGCTGATCATTCCCCTGCAGTTGAATGTATTCACTAACTTAGCTTCTACAGTAGCTGCTACTAATTGTGGTTTTCAAAAAACAAAGTGTCACATATTTGTTACTTGTTCCAATAGAAAGATGAAACATGGCTTCTCTGATTCATTTTCTTTTCACCCCTTTGGTCACTGCAGGCAGGCGTGGGCTTTGGTTTCTGTGGTTGGCGGTGGCAACGAGTCGTGCTCGGAGGATGTGAGGGAACACGAAAACCTTAACACAGGTGGAAGAGCTCTTGCAAGTCGCAGTTTCACCACTGTGGAGGGAGTGAACTTCTCAGTGTCGGCCTACAGCGAGTGGAAGAATGGTGAGAGCCAGCTGTTACTAGGACATGAATTCAAACCAGAACATGTCTTAAAAATGTGATTATGGGTCTGTAGCCAAGTGTTTATCTTTCTGCAGATGTATTTAATAATGATGCCAACTATTTCTGTATAGATTGCTCCATTTATCTCAGTGGATGCTGAATAACTTGGATGCCAGGATTTGAGTAATGGTAATTTAACCACAGTTGTTATGGAAACTCTAGTCTCTGGAATGTGATTTTCTTTCCCTCCGAGCTTATTTTCATTTCCTTTTATTGTATCATATGTCAGGGAAAAAATGCAGATGAGTAGATTTCTACATCTTTCCCATCCTCTCAGCTTTGAATGCCTTTTTATTAACTTATGTTATAAAATCCAGCTGTAAAGATAAAAATCTATGCTAACATGGTTATATAGTGTGAATTTGGAAGTTTGCTTTTTATTTTTTTTAATAAACATAGATTTTTTTCTTTTTATATTATTTACAAACCCTTTACTTATATAAATATATATAATAAATATATATATATATATAACTCCACAAACTATTTAACACCTTTTGAAATACAGATTGAAATTTGATTAAACACGTTAAAAGTCAAAGATGATGAATCATTTTGCAAGGCACTGTAGGTGGCTATCTTTATTAGTTTTGTTGGATTTAATTTGGAGGTTTCAGCATAAAGGGGGGCTTAATATGAAGCCCTCCTTCAGTACTTCTTTTGTTCTTAAAAGCTTTAAACATGACACAAAATCACATTAAAAACAACCAAATGTCTGTAATTGAAAAAACGTAATAATTATAAACAGATTTTTGAATATATCTTGTTTAAGCGATTGCATGTATTGACTTTTTGCTATATTTTAAATTGTTGATATTTTTTGTTAATCTTTGTTTTTGTTCCAAAATTAGATGAAATATTTAGGTTTTACTTTCTCAAAAATGTGCATCAGTTTGAGTCTTCAGTAAAGTGAAACTCCATCCAACTGACCAGATGTATTATTGACTTCCAAAGTTGGAAATCATGATCCTTCAAATGCATCCAAAGCATATTTTGGTTGTTTTCCTCCTCACAATAATATGGCTCTGGCGATGAATATTCAATCTATCTTGTATGGCTCTAATTCTAACTCTTGTTCCCTGTTCCAGGCTACCCCATCATGGGCTTCCTGGTAGACGCTGCAGACCAGGTGGTGCTTAACCTCCAAGATGAAGTCCAGCAGACCTGGAAACCAGGTGATAATATTGTGGTGGCCAGTACAGACTACTCCATGCACCAGGCTGAAGAGTTCACCCTGCTACCCTGCCCTCAGTGTACCAGCAGGCAGGTCAGGATACAAGGTGAGTCATAAGGCAGCACTGTTTGTTTCTGCAGATGTTATTAGGCTTCACTTGGTGTTAGTTAAGCGTTTATGCGCTGTAGTGCTGCTCTTATATTCATGTGTATTCCAGGGTAATTGGTTAGAAAACGTGCAGGTGTAGCTTAAATAATCAAAGATGTAATAAGTGGTTTAGAGTCCAAATAAAGCGACACAGAAGATAATGCTCCTCCGTGATGTCTATAAATGAGATTAGTAAATGTCACTCTGGTAATCAACAGTTACAATAAGATCTCATTCCTTTTACAGCCGTTCCTGTGATGTAAGGTTCTTGGAAGCTGAAGAGATTATGAGCTTACACGCTATTGGACTTTTTATCTCCCGATAACAGCAGGGATTTTAAGAATCTGGATACATTTCCTCTCTTTTAATGCTTCCCTGCCTTCGTGCCTCTGTCAGAAATGCCTCCTAATCTCATTCCTCCAGTCAATGAACATCAACTCCCTTTTGGGAGAGGAAGGGTGTAGGCAAAGGTGTAAGCAATATCTGATTGCTTGAAGGAAAGACTTAACAAGTTTTGCAGGGGCTAAATATGACTATTTACAGCTGTAATATTTGAGCTTTCTGCTTTGTTAAAGAACTGGCTATTTGAGGTTCTCTGTGTATTTCATTATTTCTAGATATTGGTATAAGAATGTAGAGTGGTAGCAGCCAAAAAGCTTCCTACCACTGACAGAATGGGTTTGATTTTATTGTAAATTAAACTAGGAAGCTGTTACTAATCCATTGAGATGTGGATTTTATTTATTTTTTTGGATTTGACTCCCCTCTAATTGCTTTCGTATACCAATTTGGGATTTACTGTAAAAATGTATGTGCTATTCAGGGAAGCCTCGGTACAATCATGTTGGTGAGATCATCGATGGAGTCGACATGCGAGCTGAGGTGGCTCTGCTCTCCAGGAACATTCTCATCTACGGAGAAATGGAAAGCTCTTGCTATGGAGACAACCTGTGCCAGTTCTTCAACCACGACACCTTTGGAGGTCACATCAAGGTTTGTGTCTGTGTTTAATTTTTTCAACATGATCTTATACTGAACTATGTTTTTTGTTGTACAAGACCAGTAGACTTATTATTAGAAACCCATTATTAATAGACATCTAAGTGTAGGCGGGAATATTTAGTCAAGATTGCTAAATTTATCAAAGCCAGTGGGCTGGGATTGTACTGAAAGCATAGCGTCATAACTGCAGCTTTGCAGGAACCGGACTGCGGTGATGTAAAAGTTCCTCTTTGCTGCTTCAAAGACATCCTGTCAGCATTGCGATTCTAAGAGTTGACTTCTTAGATAAGGGGTGGGGCTTCTGGTTGAGACTAAAATTCCCCATAATGCTGAACAAGGCTCTTTTCTTTTTTTTTTGCTGTTTGTCATCACATCCAGGAAGCACCCCTTCTCTTTTAAGCCTGTGTGGTTTACATATTCAGTGATACTGCGGGATAAAAGAAAAAATGTTAGAAGAAAATTAGTGTCATTTATCGACTTATAATTTTGCCTAGAGTAGGAGGCCTTAAATCTAGATGCCAAAGACTGAAACTGATGTAAAATACAGCAGGCTTCCAGTAACATAGAAGGACTGTTAACAATTGTCAGTATATACATTTGTTATGTACAATTTACCTTAGAGGGAACTGGCCTTAAAAAACCTTTGAGGAAAACCACAGCTATAGAAAATGTGACTGCATTAAATACTCAACTCTAAAAATGCCATCACCACTTTTTCTGCTTCATTGACCTTTTTATTCAAATATATGTATATTCTATAAAGTTTGACCATTCATTTTATCCGCGTCAGCTCATAAACACACACAGTTAAAAAACAAACATGAACGCAGATACAGGCATGCATGCACATACATAAACCTCCTATCCCGCGAACCTGATAAAATGTTTTATAGTAAAGTAAAAAATTTGAATCAACAAATGTTAAAAAAATGTTTGGTGTTCTGTTTTCTATAAATGGGGGCAGTTGCAACAGCTGTTGCTTCAGTCCTCCTTCCTGTCAGCCATGATAAAACCTCATATTTCAGCTAAACTAGGTGATCTTGATGCATATAAATCATATGAAATAAAGTAAACTCACCATGTAGCCTTGAGTTAAATAGCCAAAACATTGACTACCATATAACAAAAAATATATCTGCTTGTTTTACTTCTGAAGCGGAGTCATTCAGCTTTGCTTATGCAGTATATGTTTCATTACTTTTTGGTTTATTTATCTCTGTTTTTTGTGACTGTTATGATTTTACAAATTGTTGGTTTGTGTAAAATACGTCTAGGAAGCAATTTGGTTGTTTTAGGCATGAAGGATCTGAGAAAAACAAAGACACTAGTAGGGCAGGAATCCCTATGGGATTTATTCTAATGATATTGTAACTTCAAAGAAAGGAGAAAATAAACTCAATCCTTTACATTTTTTAGTAGTTTTATTTTTCTTGGAGGCAGTAATTTTCTATTTTTGACAAAATAATTGGTAAGTTTTTCAAAGAGCTTGTTTTTCAAATGCCAACAAAACATTTGCTTATTGCAAAAAAAAAAAAAACACAATTTTTTATTTTTCACTGTTTCTGATGGCGGTAGATATATCCAAATGAAAGCACGAAATCTGCAAAAATTCAACTTTGCATATTAATCTCAAATTATAAATTTGATCAAATATTTCCCGTAGGCTATATAAAAAAAAAATCTGTAAAAAATGTGTTTAGAAATGGCAGATTTTGATAAGTTTAATACTTTTCAAATGCTACTAATGGAGTTTGGTGAAGGTGTACAAATGCAGCATGTGCTGGTCTTGCCATGGCCTGAGGAAACATTTGCAGAGCACGCCATTTGGTGTGAACGTGTATTTGTGGAAGTCCTATGAGGGGGGGGGCTCAGTTCGCTATAAAGATTGGCCAATACTTCCTTAACAAGAACCAGACTCTGGAATGTCTATAGACAGAAGACCCCCCTGTGAGCCTAATACACAACATTAGCTCCATGCTTAGTTGTTTGATGCATTTCTCAAAATGTGTTTTTTGTTTTGATTCATGCATCCGTCATCAATGCCTCTTTTTCACAGATATATACAGTGGTGTGAAAAAGTGTTTGCCCCTTTCCTCATTTCCTGTTTATTTGCATGTTTGTCACACTTAAGTGTTTCGGAACATCAAACCAATTTGATGAGGAAGGGGGAAAACACTTTTTCACACCATTGCATAGATATATATTTTTTTGTCAGTTCTGCATGGAGACTGGGGTACGTCTTATTCAAGTCAAAATGTAAAAACCAACAAAAACAAAACAAAGCACCACTTAGATTAGTCAGCTTTTTTTTGCTATGGGTTAATACTGATGGTTGAAGATATAAAATGGTGTTTTTGTTGCATGTCTTCCTCTTCAGCTTATCTTGTGCTCTACTTTTACCTCCAACCCAGATCCTTCGTAACTTCTCATCGGTGCATCTGTCCCATGTGGAGTTAAAAAACATGGGCCAGCAACGAGTAAGAGGCAGCTACCCGCTTCACTTTCACATGTGTGGGGATGTTGACCAGAAGGGTGGCTACAGGGAGCCGACGTATGTGGACGGAGTTTCCATTCACCACTCCTTCTCCCGCTGCCTCACCATCCACACCACCAACGGGCTGCTGGTCAGTTAAATAACTGGATAGCAAAATTTGCTTATGGCTCCATGATTTTATCTATGAGAATAAATTATATTTTGCTGTTTAGTTCTGAATACTCTGCTATGTATTTGGCAGCTATTTGATTACAGTTACTTGGTAAAGGGTTAATGCATTTCCACATTATCACTTTACAGGAATGAAGTAGGGAAATTTGGGGGTTTTATATAATGAAGTAAAACAAAGAGGCCGTTAATGGTAAAATNATACAGTGGTGTGAAAAAGTGTTTGCCCCTTTCCTCATTTCCTGTTTATTTGCATGTTTGTCACACTTAAGTGTTTCGGAACATCAAACCAATTTAAACAATAGTCAAGGACAACACAAACACAAAATGCAATTTGTAAATGAAGGTGTTTATTTTTAAAGGAGAAAAAAAATCCAAACCATCATGGCCCCGTGTGAAAAAGTGATTGCCCCCTAAACCCAAACCCACCCTTAGCAGCAACAACTGTAACCAAGCGTTTGCGATAACTTGCACTGAGTCTTTTACAGCGTTCTGGAGGAATTTTGGCCCATTCATCTTTTCAGAATTGTTCTAATTCAGTTACATTAGAGGGTTATCGAACATGAACGGCCTTTTTAAGGTCATACCACAATATCTCAATAGGATTCAGGTCAGGACTTTGGCTAGGCCACCGCAAAGTCTTCATTTTGTTTTTCTTCAGCCATTCAGTGGGGAATTGCTTTTGTGTTTAGGATCATTGTCCTGCTGCAGAACCCAAGTTCGTTACAGCTTGAGTTCACAAACAGATGGACGGACATTCTCCTTCAGGATCTTTTGGTAGACAGCAGAATTCATAGTTCCATTTATCACAGCAGGTCTTCCAGGTCCAGACGCAGCAACACAGCCCCAGATCGTCACACTACCACCACCATATTTTACTGTTGGTATAATGTTCTTTTTCTGAAATGCAGTGTTCCTTTTACGCCAGATGTAATGGGACACACACCTTCCAAAGAGTTCAACTTTTGTCTTATGAATCCCCAGAATGTTTTCCCAAAGGTCTCGGGAAAAGAGATGTTTTTGAAAAATTGAGACGAGCTTTAATGTTCTTTTTGCTCAGCAGTGGCTTTCTTCTTGGAACTCTGCCATGCAGGCCATTTTTGCCCAGTCTTTTTCTGATGGTGGAGTCATGAACACTGACCTTAACTGAGGCAAGTGAGGCCTGCAGTTCTTGAACGTTGTTGTGGGGTCTTTTGTGACCTCTTGGATGAGTCGTTGCTGCGCTCTTGGGGTAATTTGGACGGCCGGCCACTCCTGGGAAGGTTCACCACTGTTCCATGTCTTCGCCATTTGTGGATAATGGCTCTCACTGTGGTTCGCTGGATTCCCAAAGCTTTGGAAATGGCTTTATGACCCTTTCCAGACTGATAGATCTTAATTACTTTCTTTCTCAATTGTTCCATGATGGGAACCTTTTAAGGATCTTTTGGTGGACTTTGCTGAGTCAGGCAGCTTCTATTTAAGTGATGTCTTGATTGACAACAGGTGTGGCAATAATAAGGCCTGGGTGTGGCTAGAGAAATTTAACTCAGGTATTAAAAACCACAGTTATAGTATATTTTAACGAGGGGGGCAATCACTTTTTCACACAGGGCCATGATGGTTTGGATTTTTTTCTCCTTTAATAATAAACACCTTTATTTACACATTGCATTTTGTGTTTACTTGTGTTGTCCTTGACTATTGTTTAAATTGGTTTGATGTTCCGTAACACTAAAGTGTGACAAACATGCAAATAAACAGGAAATGAGGAAGGGGGAAAACACTTTTTCACACCATTGCATAGATATATATTTTTTTGTCAGTTCTGCATGGAGACTGGGGTACATCTTATTCAAGTC